TTTCTTTTTGGGGCCACCCTGCCTTGGAGGGATCGTCAGTTGTTAATAAAAAAAAAAAATATTATTATATTTCAGCATGATGCAATGTTTGTACAGAGATGGTGACATTTGTGCACAATTGACGTTTGAGTATGTCCCCAAAATGCTTTATTTGATGATAAACTCTTGTATCTCTCTCTCTCTCAATTTTTTTTTTTAAATATAAAATTAGCATTATGTGATGTTACAAATCTCTCCATCTACTCTATCTCTCTAGTCAATCATGTGAATAACTTTATGGAAAGAGAAAATCACTGAACTACTGTTGGCTGGACTATAAAGGAGCAGCATATAACAGAATAACTTCCACAGTCCACTAAGACTGCTGCCCGAGTAGAGAGGGAGGGAATGGGAAAAGAGAGTTAGACTAAAATTTAATACGAGTAAGTAGGATTTTAAGGATTAGTTTATCTGACATCCCTCATTTTATTAGCTAAAATGTGAAATTATCACACATTTAATCGATATTGCAATTGCATTTTATGGGAAAAGTAAGCCGAGAATCATATTATTTTACAACTGTTAACTACTCCATGCAGATTTCACTGACACAAGAGGAGATAATAAAAAAGACCAGGAAAACCGACTTTCCCCTCCCAGATTCTGGGGACCCACAAACTAAAAAAAACCAAGAATATAGGTCCTAACTAAAAACCCAATGAAACACCACTCATCCCACTGATACAGCTAACAAGATAAACGACTTCTCTCAAACATAGGATCTAATTCTCGCCATTAAAATCCCAATCCCACAACCAATGCCCATGCCGGGGACTACCAAGAAGGAATTTCCCCAAATTCCTTCTATCTGTACCAACTTGAGCCCACCGAAGTCACCGAGATTATAAAGTCACTTAAAAATAGCTCAGGGAACTGTCTCACTGTCCCACCATACTGTACAAGCAAGCGGCCCGCCCATGTCTTTCGCAGCTATTTCATTACTTTTAACAAGTAACTAGAAACTAGCAAATTCCCCCGAAACTACTCAAGACAGCAATGGGTTACACCAATACATAAAGGTGGTGTGACCCTACAGACGAAACAACTATAGGCCAATATTCAAACTTACCATTGCTATCCAAAATCATCGAGAACCTCGTGCACAGGAGACTATATTTCATTTAGAACGTCACAAATACATACTCAACACCCTGCCAACTTGGATTCAGGAAAAATAAAAGCATTAAAATGATGCAATTGTAAAAATGCCTAGACCTCTTCTAAACCCACAATTGGGAAATCAGGAATATCCGCTAGGAACTTTTATTGACCTAAGAAAAAGCTTTGACAGAGTAGACCAAGGTCATTCTACTCCACAAACTTGACCATTATGGTATAAGAGCGCGCATGGGGTGACGCGCTGCATAATTTCAAATCCTACCTTACTAATAGGTATCAGTATTCATCTCACCATTTAAAACACAGTATCATCAACACGGCCACTTGAAACTGGAGTTCTGCAAGAAGTGTCCTTGGACCCCTGCTCTTCTCATTAACATCAATGAATCTTCCTACCCCAAACACCTGAAACCCAATCTCTTTGTTGACGTCATCCGACTTATGTCATCTCTCACCCTAATCTTTGCCACCCTCAACAACCATTGGTTAACAAGGAGCTCTGCTCAAAAATTGACTTGATGACAGCCAATAAACTTACACTATAACCCCTTCAAGGGTCCAAGGCCCAAATCTGAAGTGGTGCCCCAGTGTCCAGAATTTCAAAAAAAAAAATCTTGTTATTTTTTCTTATGAAATCTGGTAGAGAATCTTTTTGTGAAGGTAATAAAACAAAAGTACGAAATTTGAATGGAAAATTGACGAAAAGCTGAGTGCCTCTCGCGAATTTTGATGTGGTCAGAACGATATACGAATTCGTTGATTTTGCTGAATTTGACTCCCATTTTAGGCAATTACATTATCCGCAGTCAACAAATTGATAGCTATTCACTATATTACTTCTATTCTATCGAATGAGCATAAGAAATCGCCCAAGTCAACTTTTTCAAAACATAAAAGTGATCGGAAATGATAATTTGGCAATTTAACAAAAGTTCAAATATCCCAATTTCAAAATAGGGTCCAGAATAACAAGTAGGTATTTCCTGGAACTAACCTAACATATCCCTGTTCATTAGTTTACGTTTTGAGCTTTACAAATAAATTCATATTTGATTTTTTATTCACATAATGACTTTTATATTTCACACCAAAAAATAGAAGATTTACTGTTATCAATACTGTAATAATTGATAATGTGTCATCACCATATTTGTGAATGCTATAGACCCCACCAGCTGACGAGTATTAGACGTGTGAGGTCGTTTGTTTACTCCTTTGAATATCGCAAAAATTTAACATTTCTGCTACTCTTTGAGCTCAGTTTACAAGCCATTTCAGTGCTAAAAACAATCAAAAACATCTCTATTTTCTTAATATGTCTTCATTCTATCAAATGAGACCAAAGAAATCGCAATACAACTAAACACACAATGAAAAAACACTGCAAAATCGCCTGTTTTATTGAAAAATCATGATTTCAGTTTTTTTTTCTCATTATACACAGTGTGCTGCAGGATCTGTTTTAGTGGTGCACACATACCACATAGATGTATCTCTCATATCTAGGGCCCAAATGATACCACTCAACAATGTTATCGAGAGCGAGCTGAGCTTATTACGTAGATCTACGTGTGGAACCCTGAACGTAAAGCCGAAGATCTATGGACGGACCCTGAAAGGGTTTAACACTGACAAAACCTACTCATATATGTTTGGTAGGCAAGGAGGTGGTGCACAACTTTAACATTAAGATCAGCAACACTCTAAATGCCAGACACAATGCGAGGGCAATTCCTAGCCTATACCTCGACAAACAACCATGAATTTCAGCACCCATATCCAACAAACATCAAAAAAGTATCCAAAACAGATTGGGATCCTCTCCAAGATACGATACTACAATGCCGCAAAATGCCCTTCTCACACTATATCTCTATTCACTCATTTATCCTACCTCACTCTATGCTATTAGTGTGGATCAACTCAGTGCAACAACAGACCTAAAAACCAATAATCAACTCAACAAAAAGCCCACAGTAAGAATAATCACTTAAAATCCCATCCCTGGCAACACACCTCCCCCCCCCCCACTTCTTCATTAGAACTAAACTTACTCCCTGTTCAGAACATCCACACTATACTACTGTGCAATCTACATATACAGGACCTTAAATTCCAATATTATTCCTTGACCTAAAATGCTTTTCTTGATAGTTGTGACAGGATCCACAGGCATAACACCTGAACAAACATCTCTACTACATTCCCTCCCCGTGTCCCGACCAAACCTTTACAAATTCAGTGTATGTCAAAAGGCCCTAAAATCTGGAAACCCTACCTGAAAAACTCTAGAAATGCCGACACATTCCTCACCTTCAAAACTACAGTTAGAAAACACTTATCTCCCTGATACACCACCACCGTCAACTAAACTACATGAATAAACCCACCTGGTGGTTCACCTTAATACGCTCACTCCCTCACCCATTTGACTATAAGCACAGAAATACGAATCTAATCTCAAAATAATGATCCTAACTATCATAAGTTTCCTGTGATACTCCAATATATAAACTATGTATTATGGCCAAAACAGAAGCACACCACATTGCTAAACATCACTAACTAGTATTTATCACTTAATATTTAGTCAACTTACCCCATAATTTGTAATAATTTAGGGTTAAGAATTAATCTAAGTCTGCCCGAAATGCCTAGCCATGCTAGGTGTCCTAGTGGCCCCTTCTGTAATTAGTATTTTATTACATGTAAATCACACAATAACCAAAATCTGTAAACCCCGCATTGTAATCCTTATAGAGGAGAATAAACTTGATTGATTGATTGTTAGAATTGATTGATTGATTGATGATTGATTACTTCAAAAGGTAAACCCTTAACTTTTTTACAGCGATTGTACATGGAATTACATTTAATTATATTTGTATCATAACTGTTTCAAAACTGTCACTAAATAAACTATAGATTGAATCACTGTGTTGATTTTTATTTTTATTTTTTGACTTGCTGTTGTTGTTGATGTTGCTACCATTGTTGATGCTGCCGTTGCTGTTGCAATTCTTACTGGTGTATTGCAGAGTCCTCTTGAATGATCCTGCCTTTGATGCGGATTCTCTGTCTCAGTCTTGGTACAGCGCCTGTGATGGTCACTCCATCTCTTTTCTCCCTCTAATCTGAGTCTCTCTTCCCCACTTCTGCTTCCTATGAAATTGATAATAATTTAAATTGATAATGGAGTGAATGATGGTGAAAGTTTTTCTTTTTCGGGCCACCCTGCCTTGGTGGGAATCGGCCAGTGTGTTAATAAAATTAAATAATTTAATTAGGAATGTGCCAAGGTATTGGTATTGACTAGCTTTAATAGTATCAGTATCAGTGATATCAGCTAATTTTGATGTATCGGTGATATCAGCAATTTTGATGGTATCGGTATATCAGCTAATTTCGATGGGTATCGTGATACAGCTAATTTGATGGTAATCATACTGCAAACAAAATTGAGTAGTTTTGTATCAGTGAAACTTCAGCATTGTACTATAACTAAGTCTTTATACCTTCAAAAATATTGGTCCCTTGGCTTTTTTTTTCTATTGTTGATTATTTTTTGCCTCTACACTTCACAGGAAACCATAGCCGACTTGAGTCCCTGGAGGTGAGTAAGTAAAGTGCTTGCACTCTGTTAGGGGGTGATCTTTGCTGCATGGGGGTACATCTAAACTGTTGTATCTGTGTGCCTCTGGCAAAACAGTGATAGTGTGAATGATGGTGAAAGTGTTTCTTTTTCAGGTCACCCTTCCTTGGTGGGAGATGGCTTGTGTGTTAAAAACTAATGTATTTTCACATTCCATACATGTTTAATTTGATGATGTTTATTTCCGCAGGTGACTGGCTACATTGTCCGGACATGCCGCATTGTGTTGGTCACGGAGCTGCTTGTGCTTTTAAAGGAAGACTTATGGTATTTACACAAGAGATGCAACTGCTGACCTATTATCCGTCCATGAAGAAATGGTCAGCCATACCAGTAATATCTCCCAGCAAGCAAGGCTATCGAGCAGCTTTAACATGGAGTAACTCTGTTTATTTGATAGGTGAATATCCTCTTCTTTCAACAAGTTTGTCTTTTTAATAATGCATACAGGAGAAGGGGTTACTAGCCTCTTGCTCCTGGCATTTTAGTCGCCTCTTACAACATGCATAGCTTACAGAGAAAGAATTCTGTTCCACTTCCCCATGGAGAATAGGTGAATATGGTGCTTCATAATTCAGTGTTGATGAAATACTGGAATACTTGTGGTTGGATTCAGGGGAGGGGAACTAAGTTTAGCAGCTTGATGCCTGGAGGTGGGTGCAGTGCAGTCCCTGCACTCTGAAGGAGGGGTAGTAGTTGTTACAGTTCTGGAGATGGGAGTACAGTACTAAATGCTGGGAGTAAGGGGTGGGAAGTACAGTACTAAATGCTGGTAGTAAGGGGTGGGAAGTATAGGACTAAATGCTGGCAGTAATCTTAATCTTAAGAAACCTCTTCCACTATCATTTTTTTTCCCTTGTGGATTTTTATTTTGGTTTTAGTGTTAGTGATCAAGGGGGGCTTTTGATAGAGGCAAAAACAATTGTTCAGAATGTGGTGAGTGCATTTTCTTGTTAATCCTTGTTTATATCTTACAGATAACTGTTCCAATCAGGTATACAAGTTTTCACCGGAAGAAGGTAAAACTGTGACAAACTTTGGCCGCTTTAAAACACCGCCGGTAAACGTGTGTGTTGTGGATGGAAAACTGTACAGTTTCAGCCATGACGATTTAGATGACAGTCACGTTATAGAAGTTCTAGATGTTGCAGAGGAGAACCATGTTAGTACTGCACATGCAACAGTTCTGCAGACTAGAGAACATTCCACTCAGTCGTGCAAGGAGAAACAGGCTTCACAAATTGAGCATAGTGTAGTGTTTTCAAAAGAGGTGTGGAGAGAGAAGGAGACCGACGCACATGTTTACATCCCAACGACTAAATGCCCTGCTGATGGACTCCACCGCTACATTCTCTCTGGGTTTGTTTTCCACTTCAAAACTCAAAATCCCATAACACGAAAATAGTTATGGGCAAAAACCATAAAATACAGAAGGACCACCGTATCCGCAGGGGATTACATTCCAAGAACCTGTCGTGATACTGAAACCATTGCACGTTCTTGAAACCTCCTATTATAAAGTTTAAAATTTGATAAACTGCACAATAAGTGCAGAATTATCACTTAGGGCTCTGAAGAAAACTGCCAGCTTCTCTACTTCTGTGCTTTGGGGGCCATTGTTATGTAAAATAAGAGGTACTATTGGGCCACAGTAAACAGTGGATAACGAAACCAAGGATACCGACGATCAGTGGATACGGGGGCTTCTACTGTATAATTTATGTAAAATGCCATGTCTTAGAGTTCATGTTTGATGTTGTCGAAGACCAAATTCCACTTATGGGCATTTTATTGGAAAACATCATCCACTAGGGACGTTTATTATTTTTTACTAAAAATGGGTCGAAAGAAGCATGAAGTCTCTGTGGACAAAATACCTTTCCACATGTAATGCCGTAAATGACAATGTCATGTCTTATTAATAATACAATCAGTGAATAACCAGACGGGTGAATGAACACTTGTCAGTGCTCAATAATAACCTCCCAGCATGAAGACAGAAACTCAGAAAGATAATTAATCTGTATATACTGACCCCTTTCTGGGATCCTCTCACAGATGGGTCCCCCAGAAAGGGGTTGAAATAAACAATCAATTATATCTCCCTCTATCTGTCCTCCATGTGGTTATTACTGAGCATAATTCAGTTTAATGCCATTGATATACAGTTACCTGGTGATGTTACCTTCAGTAACGGAGGGAATTAATTTAGAGGAGAAATATTATACACCTCACATTCCACACACCACACACACACATTTTAATAAAATATTCAAAGTCATATAAATAATATAACACATATTACATGCCATAGTATTTAATTTATATATTTTTTTATATAAATTATATAAATCTGGAAAAGAAAGGAAAATAACATTACCTATTTTTTTTTTTTTGGCGTTTTTGTCTAGAAAAAAGGAATTTATTTCTCTCTCTTATTATTTTTGTACAGTCACCTTAGGAAAACGCTAAACCCATAAGGGTCGATAGTGCCTATGAAGGGAAGGTGATTAGATCAATTCCTAGGAGAAGCCCCAAATCTTTGGATCAAGAGCCTCTCACTGGCAACAAGGTGCTGACTTCCCTAAAAGGAAAAATAAAATTTGAGTTTAATTTACAGAAACAACTTGATTTTCGCTTTTCGATGACAAAGATTCTGTCTAAGGTTTCTAATGTTTCACTAACAAAGTATTACAATTATTATATTTGTACAAAAACATCATATAATAAAAGACAACTGTACATAAAGTATATTAAAATCAGTCATTACTAAAATTTCCTCTGTATTTGTTTAATTGTAGAGGATGAGAGATCATGGTCATACAGGTAATGTATGATGCCTGTCTATATATTACAATAAATTGGTTAAATTTAGTTTTCTACCTTATTGGCTTCTTCAACGGCAAGATTAAGTTTTTTTTTTTTTTTTTTTTTCAACAAGTCGGCCGTACTCCCCAACCGAGGAGGGTGCCCCACCGAGGCAGGTGACCCATCCGAGGCAGGGTGACCACCGAGGCAGGGAGACCCCCGAGGCAGGTGGACCCCCGAGGCAGGGTGACCCACCGAGGCGGGTGACCCACCGAGGCAGGTGACCCACGTGGCAGGGTGCCCCCACCGAGGCCAGGGTGACCCACCCGAGGCAGGTGACCCAAAAAAGAAAGAAATCCCCAAAAAGATAAAATACGTTCATCATCATTCAACACTTTCACCAACTCACACATTATCACTGTTTTTTGCAGAGGGGCTCAGATACAACCAGTTAGAAGTATATACGTTCACAGATAACACAACATATCCCTCCAAACTGCCAATATGCCCAAACCCCTCCTTTATAATGCAGACAATGTACTTCCCATTCCAGGACTCAAGTCCGCCTATATGAAAATCACCGTTTTCCCTGAATCCATTCCCTAAAATATTAACCCTGCTCACACTCCCCAACGATCGTCAGGTCCTCAAGTATCATTCGCTCCATTCACATCTATCAAACACGCCCATGCACGGCTTGCTGGAAGTCAAGCCCCTCGCCGCAAAACCTCCTTTAACACCCCCTCTCTCCTACCCTTTCGAGATGTTCTACCTCACCTTCCTTCCCTATAGATTTATATCCTTTCCATTCCATTCTACTTGATCCATTCTCTTCTAAATGACCAAACCACCTCAACAACCCCTCTTCTGCCCTCTGACTAATACTTTTTATAACTCTAACAAACCTTCTCCTAATTTCCACACTCTATCCGACTTTTCTGTATAATATACACCACACAGTTGCCCCTTAAACAGGACATTCTCCACTGCCTCCAACTGTCTCCTCGCTGCGCATTTACCACTCCAAGCATCACAACCATAAAAGAGTTTGGTTAAGTGACCATACAAAAAAATCCATCATCACTGATTGCTTGTCTTATACCAGGAATTAATAGTTTTTAGTGATTTTTTTTTTTTTTGTTATAAAACACTGCTGTCGCCCACCAGCAGGTTAGCCTGGAAAAAAAAAGTATCGCTTTCATAATTTTTTTTTAAAAACTACCATATCTTCCTAAGCAAGGGACCTACAATGAAAAACGAGTTTTCTCCTCTTTACATTTAGTAAATTTATAACAGGAACGAGGTTACTAGCTCCTTGTTCCTGGCATTTTACATCAATCTGCTTACGACATGCATAGGTTACGGAGGAAGGATTCTTTCTCCCTTCAGTATGTACTGTAGTTGAATAATGAAGTTTTTTTCATGTAATAAAAATGTAGAGCTACTTCCAGATGTTGAAATTTGTGCCATTAGCAATCAATAGGCTGGTTGATTGGGGCATCCACCATGAAGGATGGTGTTGTTGACCTCAGAGCAAATTCCAGACAGAAGGAAGAGTGTTTAGCCATAGCTTGTTTTCATTGCTCAGTTTTACCTCCAAGCTTAACAACCTTGATGTTTTTGATTGGGTGGGAGTTTTTTTTCCAAAATAGTGGCTGCATACTCCAGTAGTTGGGCCGATATACACAGTGTTCATAGCTATGGAATGGATCCTTACCGAGGTGTCGAACAACTGTTTCTCTAAGTTTGCCGAGGCGCCCATATGTTTGCAGCAGTTATAGGTTGATATGCACCTCAAGAATGTGTTTGTATTATACTCATCCCAAGATCCTTTTCCCTTGAGTGAAGGTTTGCAATCTTTGGCCACCCTGGCCTGTGCTCCTGTCTGTGATCTTCGCCCTTTCTCAATCTTCATAACTTTTCATTTGGTGGGTTTAAACTCCAAAGCCAGTTGCTTGGACCAGGCCTGCAGCCTGTCCAAATCCCTTTGCAGTCCTGCCAGATCCTCAAATCCGACTGAATTCCCCTCTTTTGCCTTACATCATCTGCAAATAGGGACACACTTTAGAGTCTATCCCCTTCCCTTTGTGTTATTCACATATACCAGAAACAGCACCAGTCCCAGGACCGACCCCTGTGGAACCCCGCCCAGTCTCAGGGCACCCACTCCCGAAACCTCGTTGCATACCACACTTCGTTGTTGCCCTCCTGACAGGTATTCTCCTGAATCATGGCAGTACCTTTCCTGTTATACCTGCCTGGTTCCTTTAGGTTTTGCACTAATCTCTTGTGTGGAACTGTGTCAAAAATCCCCTTAACAGTTTCAAGAAAATGCAATCTACCCCCCTCCCTCTCTCTCTTTGTCTTTACTTTCGTCACCTTGTAAAACTCCATTAGGTTTGTGACACAGGATTACCCTTCCCTGAAAGCCATGCTGTAAGTCCTTTGTAAAGCTCATGTGTGTGGTTGTACTTTGCGCCTAGTTGTACTCACCTAATTGTGGTTGCAAGGGTCGATTGTCACCTCCTGCCTCGCCTCTTCACTGGTCACTATTATGTCACCTTTTCCCTGCTCCATGAGCTTTATCATACCTCTTCTTAAGCTATGTACGGCTCCTGCCTCCACTACATCACTTCCCAGACTATTCCACTTCTTTGACAATTCAGTGACTGAAGAAATACTTCCTAACATCCCTGTGATTCACTGAGTCTTCAACTTCCAGTTTGTGATTCCCTTCGTGTTGTGTCCCACCGACAGGACATCCTGACTCTGTCCCTCATCTAGTCAATTCCTCTCAAGTTTTTTATATGACGTTATCATATCTTCCCTATCTCTCCTGTCCTCCAATGAGTCAGTTGATTTCCGTTAACCACTCCTCGTAAGGCCAGCCCCTTAGCCTCTGGGGAATTTGTTGTTGCAAACCTTGTCACTGTCCTCTAGTTTCCGTTACGTGCTTGGCTAGTTTGGGCTCCAAACTGGTGCTGCATACTCCAGTAAAAGGACTAACATACACGTGTACAGGGTCCTGAACGATTCCTTATTGATATGTCGGAATGCTGTTCTGAGATTTTCCCAGGCGCCCATATGCGGCAGCAGTTATTTAGTTGATGTGCGCTTCAGGAGATGTGCCCTGTGTTTCATATTCACTCCAAGATCCTTTTCCTTGAGTGGGTTTGTAGTCTCTTGTTTAGTTAGTTTTAATATCTTCTTATGCACCCCATACCCATCCTGTGTGCAGTGAGTCAAAAGATTACAGAGGTACATAATGGGTCCAGGGACTGGAGCCCAAAGTATGAATAAGGCAGAACTAGTTACAAAGGTAATGAACACCCGGTAGATCTGGTCACAATCATGGCAAGTTCAAAGGAAATGAATCAAGCCTCACTCCTATACATGGTTACAAATCATGAACAAATTACAAAGTAATGACCACTGAACCCCTAGACCTGTTCTCCATCCATC